CCCTAGACACATCTGTTTTGTGATGCAGAGGTACCTTTGTGTTCAGTTGTTCGGTTTTCAGAGGTGTGGAGCTAGATGAGACAGTCTTACCTTGTGTCTTGAACTTCTTGTAAGGAGTATTTTCCCCCTAGGTCTCTGCCTTTCTTGTCCTTCTACTTGAATGAACTGTGTTAATGAGATTTTAGGGACCCGGCTGCCCCCACCAAAGCAGCCTCACACTGCACAGGAAGTTGACATGTGAACAGCCCATTGAACCACAGAGAGACAACTCTGCAGAGCAGTTATTCTGGCAACAGTATTCCTAGTGGTGGTTAGCTCCGAAGCAGGGCACATGAGGGGGTTAACTATGGAGGCTCTGCTCTGAATTTTGGGGAGAGGAGGTGCCCTGCTATTCCTCCAGCCAGGGAATGTAGTGCCCTGGAAGTCAGCCCCATGCTGCCCAGAGCAGAACAAGAGAGCTTGCTTTGGCCAAAATTAGTATATGGGGGACATTTTCCATGTGCAAATGGCAGCAGTGGTGGTTTGCAACACAGTTCTGCTGACCTGGAGTGCTGCAGCCTTGCTGTCCTGCTCAGAGGCAGCTACACCACCCAGCTGCCATGGTCCTTCCAGTAACCCAGCCAGAATTCCTAGGGGCTGCTCACCCAGGAGCAACTTGGCTAACAAAAGAAGCATTGGAGACCAAAGGAACAGGAGGTGGGAAGGTTAATTTTGTTTTGGTGAGTTAGGTCAGGCATGGAAGAAGAGATGCATTCAAGTCAAGAGCTTTCTCTCCAAGCTTGGATGTTTTATTCATCTTGCAGACCAGGATTTTCACATGCTTTTAATTAACAAGGCAAAATATAGCTTCTACTCATTCAGTTTGTGAAATCAAGTTTAAATTTATAAGAGATAAGCATCAGTATTGCCCAAAGACCAAATATTTGCTCAACATCAATTCTGCTGGCTTATAACTCCAAATATCCTTGGCATATCCCTGTTTTTTTGCAGAAGAGCTCTTGACTTTGCAAATAAATTTTGGTTAGCTTTTCGTGCTGCAGATAGAAGGCTTAAAGTAAAAATCTCTCTGAAATTGATAGCTTAATTTTGTATATAAAAATAGAATGCAATTGATCTTTAAAAATAGTTTAAATGGTTGTCACTGTCTTGATTATTTTTTATATATGCCTCATAGATTAAGTCAGTATTCATCTGTTTTAGAAATAGATCTTAGCAAGTATATTTACATTAACTTCAGAAGCACTGAATCATCTTTGGGATGAGATGGAACCTGAAATCTCTGGGGAAAAAAATATTTCTGCTTTCTTGCATTCTCTATTCACTTTCTGGAACAACGTTTGTTTTAATTGTATAGCTTCCTATGAACTGGCATTTCAATTACAGGCACTTCAGTGTTAACCTGAAGGTTTTGTCTCTGAGTAGTCTTGGTTAATGAAATACACTAGTTGGCTTTCATTAACTGCAAATTGATGTTTCGTTATGGCCATAGCTTACATCAGATGTTCCTGAAGAGCAGCATTTCTTGCACCAGGGTTTCATCAGAGGTCCCACCTAAAGCGTGATGGTGCTGGTCCTGCCATTTGGGGAAAAAAAACCAACACAAACCAAATCACATTTGTGGACATAATCCAATTTAGGAATACTCTGACAAAGTTGCTTACAAATCCAGTCTGAACCCGTGCATAGTTAAGGTTGTGGGAATAAAATGGATTTTTTCAGCCACTGCCAAGAGGCTAATGAGTGGTCACTTTGAGTTCTGACAAAGGTGTAACAGAAATGGGTTTTGGGGCTGAACAAGTGCTACAGCATAGCTGTTCTCTGTATCTGGCCCTGGTTCTTAGAATTATGGTGTGTTTCTGTCTTGCTGCACAACCATTTAACTGTGTTTTTTTCCTCCCTAACTACTATGTCTGAAGATGTCAGCAGCAGGAGTTAGCAGATCTGTGGGGTTTTCAGTGCCAGCCATTTTAAGTTTTGTGTATTTCAGAGCTTTCTTCTCTGGAATAGAAGATGTAGAAAATGTGAATTTGCAGCAGCACTGCTGGGGAGATGTGTGCTGAACCCCTTTTATTGACTTCTGATGGGCAAGATTTAGGTTTCATCTCTTCTCTCAAGGTAGCTTTAGAAAGAGCACAGTAGGTCTTTTGACAGTCCAGCGATTGCCCCACAGATGATCAGTCACGTCTTTCATATGTTGCAAACTTTGAAGGGTCAGGGTACTCCTTTAGGTACTTCTGAAGCTCCTGTCACCATCGTATCCAAGGGCAAGTAGCCCTGAGCACTTGAATATTGAATGCAATCTAATTATGGAGTGACAGCTACAGGACTGCAATGAAAGAAGCAAAAACTGTTTGGTGTCTCAAAGGAGAGCAGGTTGCCTAATGAAGAGAGGGGAAAGGCAGGGGGAATCGTGCTCTGGCGGGGGATATTAGCCTTGTTGCCAAAATGGAGGGGGAATTGGGAAGGTTTGGCAGCTCAGAAGGGGATTTCCATTAGGGGGCACATCATTTTTCTAACAGAGGGAAGAGTGAAGAAATTCGAGGCTGAGAGTGTGATCTATTCTAGAATTTGTAGCACAATTTTGAGGAGCTAATGTTAGATCTTCTGCTGCAATTTTACGTTTTCACAGCACACGGGATAAATTGCCCTTTGTGCTGCTCTGTGTAAGGTTTAGTTTCCAGCTGCTTTGTGCATTACTCTCCACACTTCTAATTATGTGCTAATCTGTGTATTTCTAGAGTAACAGTTTGTGCCTTTTTTTATTATTTCTTTTAAATATTACCTTTTTTGATGTCTGCTTTTGTAGTACTCAGCTAGCATTCAGGTCTTGTGTTTGAGTAGTTGAGTTCAAACTGTCTTGGGCTTTTTTGGCTTGTGCCTTTTAGAGTGGTAATTTAGCAAGGCTGCATTATGTTGTTAACAGGGATGCTACAAACACACCTGTATTCAGATTGAAGGAATGAGGTAAATATTTTCCTTGACTAATTACCTCTTTCGTGTGAGAGTAGAAGCTTTTGCTGAGAAGGTAGTTCTCATTCATGTGTGGTTTTAATTCAGTTTTGGTCTTAATTTAGGTCTTTACCTCATATGATGAAGACAAATCCATGCAGATATATTAAAATCTGACCTTCGGTTTGCTCTCTGCATTCACTAATGTGTTTTAAAATATTTTAATATATGGCTTTGCAGGCTCCAGATCAATAAACCAATGGGTTTGAAATGACAGAGTGCTACGATATTCCTCTGTAATTTAAACATGATTAGCTGATGAAGGTTATGATCAATATGCCAGGGAAAGATAAATTAATTGATATCATCCTTTCAGGATGATAAGAGGCCTATTGGAGGTGGGATGTAACTAATGAAGCTGCTTCTTCATATGTAGAAGCCATTTTTTATACAATGTATTCTCACTAAATCATGCTTATGCCATCATTCATTTACATGAAAAACATAAGCCACAGACCACTTTGTTATTAAAATTCCATTCATTTAAGAAGAAATTGTGTGCTTACTCTGCTAAACAATATCTCTGCCTGTATTATAATGTATTGAGAAAAAATATTGGAATTTACATAAAATCCTTTTGTATTTTCTGAACAAAACAGATAGACACCAATAATTGTTGCCCTTGTGCCTCACTGACTGGTTTGGGTGGATATGGCGCAAGTGACCGCAGACTCCTTTGCACAAGTGTCATGAAGTGCATGACTCTGAAAAATATTGCATGCAAGGAAGCTGAATTTTGTTAGTAGTGTTTTTGATTAGCCACCACACTAGTCTCTGTTACTGAAGACTGAATTTTTGTTTACTTTTTAATTTGTGACCCAAATGGTAGGCAAAACACGTAATGTAAAGAATTCTATTTTTAGATGTTTATGACCTAAAACGAGCTCTTTGCAAAGGTTTTAACTGAATAGTGGAATGAATTGAAATTCCAGTGTATCACAGAACAGATTTCTGAAATAGTTTGGCTTTTTAAAATTGAAACATTGCAGGACAGGCATGGTTGTTGCTTCTCAGATCAGCTTTGTTTTTTCTACTGTGAGTCTGCCAAGCTGATTATGTCGAGATGTTAATGACTCTGAACCCTAACTCTGTTTGATAATGCTGCTTTTCTTCACAGGTTGTAGAAAAATTTCTGAAATTGCAAAACAAATATGTCATTTTTCTGTCTATGCTGGTGCTAAGTAACGATAGCTAAAACTAAGAATTGTGCTAGAGCTTCTTCCCATAATGAATTTGAAAGAGATGTGATGTGTGGCTAATGCAGGTATTCCATGTCAGGACCCCTTATCAGTTTTACTATTCTGATCATGATACATTTCAAATGGTTTAAACTTGTGGTTTCCAAAACTGGGTATCCTGATGCAGTGGCAATAATTCAGAAAAGTCCACTGTATTCCTCAGCAGCAGAGAGCAAACTAACCCTGCTTGGCCTGGGAGTGATAGCTGTCCTAATGAACCTTTACACTCTGATGTGGGACATCTTCCAGGACCCTGCTAGTAAACAGCACTGAGATGCACTTGAACTACATTGTTAGTCAAGTGTTGCTGGTATTTATCTCCTGTCCACAAGGAAAACACCTGAAAGAATGATGGAAAACTTGTACTGCCATAAACTTTGTTTCCGTAAGCTTTACATATTGTAAATGCATAGTGGACTTGTTACAGCATTCCTGGTGTTGCTTTTGGTAACTTGCACACCTGCCTTTTCCCCTTCTGCTTGGATGTTACTGGTTCTTTGGTGCTTATCTGGTGGAGTGAGAGTTTTGGGGCAGTTTCATCCACGTGGAGATTAGAGCTGAAGTCTCCCATGGAGCATATTGTTGAACACCAGCATCTGTCACCTTAGTTGGATGTATTACAGTCAACTTTTGCAGCAAGCTTTGGGAAAGAAACCCCTGATCTGTGTGTTGTGCTTTCTGTGTATTTTTTGCATAGGGTATTTTCCAGTGTGTGCTGCAGCTTACCTGCCTGTGTGCTTTGTTTTTCTTTAGTTGCTCAGAAGATCGTTGCAACAAGGAAGAAGCAGCAGCTCTCAATTGGACCCTGCAAATCTCTGCCAAACTCTCCAAGCCACTCATCCGTGTGCTCTGCCCAGGTTTCTGCCGTACATATCAGCCAGGTACAGGCTACAGTGAGTGCTTGCTTGAAAAAGGAACTAACAGGTTGCTTTTCATCTAATGTCTTTAAAGCCAGTGCTGGTTTTGCTGCTTGATAGGTAGTTGGCATTTTTTTAAAGGTGACAGTGATCTGTAGCTTGAAGCTTTTTTTTTAATTGGCTTTATTTCAAGAAACTGCTGCAGTAAAATGCTTTAAAGCCACCTTTGATGGTACTGATTTATGCCCATCAGCCTGCTGTTCTGGACAGACCAATTGTTAGGATAGCAGGATTTGCTGTACTGTGTTTTAAGATCACCTCACTATGCTGTTGGTTACTGTTCTCCTTCAGCTGTGTGCTGAGCAGTAATAGCTGGAGGATCTCGGTGGTTAGTGGGCGAGAGTTTTACATCTGTGAGCACTGTATGCAGTTGTAATTGCCTGGCTCTGTTAGGCTCACTGAAATGATTCCCCCTTAATGACACAGTGATACATGTTGCAAATGACTTGTGGATGCCATGTGTAAAAACAAAACACGATACTACCTTAATGTATGGCAGGGAAGTCTTGGAGGCCTTGGTGGTATTTTTGGAAACACGTGGTTAGTACAATAATTTTCTGTGCACGATTTTTACCCACACACACATTAATACACTCTCCTGTGTTTCCCTTGTGATGTCCTCCCTTCATGTCTTTGTTTCCTAGTGTCAAGTGCACTTTCACTGTCAGCAGATGGACCCATAGGGCTGTCATATCGACCAGTCTGTGGCCAGGGCTGTTCCCTGGTTTCCTGATATCCACCACACCAGTCTGAATTTTTTGACACCCACCAGCTTTCCTGGTGTGTTTTTCAGTCTAAGCTCAATAATATGCCAGCAGCGTCTCACAAGGTTATGTTGCAGTCTTGAGCCACCTGTGGGAGGCTTTGCTTTATCTATGGACCTTTCTCCCACACTGAGAATGTCTGCTTTTTGGCAAAAAACAGTATAGTGAGGAAGTGTCCTATCTTTGGGGAAAAGTTGGGGTTTTTTCTTTAATTTGATGTGTTATTTTCTTGTGAAAGCAGTCTGTTTAAACAGCCAGAGGATGAAGGCTTTGGTTCCTCTGTGCTCATAGTAAATGGTCTCTTTCTAAGCCCTAGTGGAAGTTTCCACCATTGGGTTAACTCTGAAGATGCAGGTGCTAGTTTGGTCTTCTTTGCTATGAGATGTTCTTCCTTGAGGTGAGCCCAGAGAGCAGCCTCAAGACTGTGACTCTTGCTGGTTATGCCAAAATAAAATGTGGACGTTCAGATCCCCCTTTCTAAAGCAGGTGCTAAGCTGTAGGACTTCTGAAGAACCCTAGCACTTTCAGGTCAAGTACAAGTTCCTCAAATGGAAGAGACTGTCTCCTTTCATGTCCTATGTGACATTGACCGAGCTTCCTTGGCCACTCTCAGGTGACTGCCACAAGCACCTGGAAATAATCCTTTATGTGAAATGCTTTTCTTCCAAGAGGCTATCTTGAGTGCCCATCCTATTCAGTGCTGAAAGAGGAAGTGGGCTGTCACAGAAATGGGGAGAGCAAATGGCACTACCATTGCCAGTACTGACCTTACTCTTGGATCCAAGAAGTACCTAGTTTACCAGGTCTGCTGGTGATTGTATGATTTTTCAAGACTTCCTAAAGAGCACAGGGGATGCTTTGTGTAACCTAATCTTAGCCAGGTGCTTCTCTGTTGAGGTCACCCTTCTAGGAAATTAAACTCGATTAAAGAACATAAAATATCTAGGTTATCACCAGTTTCCTGCCCAAGTCCAGTTTGGAAGCCAACAGTAAATACAAAATTCTGGACAGGTACTTCAACTGCACATCAAACTTCTTTCCAGTGATAAGGACTGTCTGGGGAAATCAAGACAAGGTAGCTTTTGTACTAAGGATCCAACAGTCTCTTTCAATAAACACAAAATAGTGTTCTTCCTTTACCAGCTGCCCTAATTATCTAAGGGGACAATTGCAACACCAGTCAAAGATGTCTGTCTTCTGAGACTGATGTCATGCCTAAGAGTACAGGCCACAATTCTGTTTCATGTCTTATCGCCTTTGTGCTGCACTTGAAGGCAGGACGACCTTGTTTCAAGGAAAGGAAGCCAAATCCTTATCCTGGACTTAAAAGAACTTCGCAACTGCAATTCCAAGTTTAAGATGATCTGGGGGAAGATTTTCCATCTCTGATCTTGGCTGGAAGACTGGCTGGTGTCTTGCCCTTTAGAACATCTCTTTTGACGTAATGATGTTTCACTGAAGATTTCCTCCATGAGTCAAAAATGTTTTCATTACAGTGCCCTGCTACTTGCATCCTCCACAGGAGGGAAGGCCTTCAGAAGTAGTGGTTACACAGATCACCTGGGTAAAGTGAAATATTGTTCCTTCTTTGGTTGGATCACTCTGGTGATCTAACTCCTGCAAATTATCCAAGCAACTTTGCAGGCAAGAACTGAGCCTTTAGAGGGAGGAAAAAGACAAAAAGTGTCACCTTACCCCATCCTGTCCCCAGCATATCTTGGGAGACATTTCTGAGGCTTAATACTTGCAAGGGCTTCTCCACCCAGTAGTTTCAGTTTTCAAACGGTGAAAGACTAGTTTGTGTGTTTGGATCTGTATTTATACTTGTGTCCAGTAGTCCTAAGTGGCCATGTTCTCTTCCAGGGACTACCCTCAGACAAGCCTTTTCTTGTCCCTTAGGTATTTCCAGAAGTATGTTTCACAGAATGAGATGCTTCCTACAAGAATAGTGCTGTTATCTAGCAGTTCCAAAGGGCTCTTTTCTTTGCCCAGACTCTGAAAGGAGAGATCATCTTGTTCCAAAAACCATGAGGCTGCTCACATGGACACCACCTTTGGTCCTCAGTGCATTCCACCTGAGCTCAAGATGCACTAGAAATCCATGTGAAGTAGCTCTGTACCAAATAACCTGTTGAGTAGTTACCTGGAGCTGTTCCTTTTTATGCTCTTGTCAAAACATCAGAAAATCCTGTGGCACCACACTTGTAGTTGCTGTTTATGTGGAAGACTCTGGGACCCTCTTCAGACAAACTGATAGTGTCATTGTCCTAGGAGGTTTGCATTATACCTGATGGGATGGAGCATAACGGGCATTTTACTGAACTCTCCAGCACAGGGTTTGCTAGCACACAAGCTTTCTCCCTACTACCTGCTGCAGATTGGTGAAGATGCATTATTTATGCTTGCACTATGCCTCCATAAAGTTTTACTACAACGTGATTGTCTAAATATGTAAATTAAACTATTAAAAGCGAAGTGCAGTCAGTTTAATCATCCGTTATTTTACTGTATATGAGACCTGATTATGGATAAGCACCAAATAGTAGGGTACAATTATCTTATTTATAGTGGGGGTCATTTAGGATGAAATATTCTGTTGTGGTATTTTGGGCCCTTGCATAAGGAGACTACATTGCTTAACTAGCTTTTCCCTCTGAATTTTCATGTAATCAAAAACAAAAAGAGAATTGAAAAGAGGATTTAGTATCATTGCAACATACATCATTATCTTTGTATATTTACTGGGTTATTTTGAAGAAATCTCTAACATTTATTTAAAATAAGCATTATGTGTGTGTATACTCCCCTTCATTCCTGTTTCACACACATGCATACTCTCCAGCTCACAGTGCATGTATTCCCCTTCATTCCTGTTTCACACACAGCACACATGCATACTCTCCAGCTCACAGTGCATTCTCCACCTCAGTGCATCTATCAGTGTACTTTTTCCTCCTTCCTTTATCTTCTCAGGACTGCAGCCTCATTCCTAATCAGTTTTGTTCTGCGTGTTGTTACCCTTCTAAGGTCTCTTGAACTTTAGACTTAGGCTTGCTCATCTTCTAGATTTTTCAGTTCATAACACAGTTGCTGCTACTGTATTATTAAAGACTATTGTCACTTTTTGGTTAATAAATATTATTGGTCATTTCATGATTACTTGTTTCTGATACACCAGCTCATCTTCAGAAGCTGTCATCAGATTCTCTTGGTGCTCTTTGATTTGTCTGATAGGACAGATCTGCTCTTTCCTTTACCTTGCTTTTAAAATCAGAACAGGCAAATGCTCCCAAGATGGGCAAGTTATAATACGTCCCAAAGGATAAGGTTAAACTGCTAAATATTGCAAAATAATGCAATTATTACAATACAGTTTTGTCTAACTGTGGAGCACTAGACTTGGTAAAATGTCTAGAGTCGTTAATATGGACCTAGGTTTGAAATCTGCTGTCAAATTTGTGTTTCACAGCAGCTTTCTCCAAGCTTTCTGTCTTTTGCTGAGGCAAGGACTGAACAGTTTCTGCCTTGATCTGTCTTGGGATGTGTGGCTGTGTATCACCAGAGTTCCTTGAATAAATGGGACTCCCACCTATAGTGCTTTCTGATGAAAGACTGAGATAATGCGACTTTGAAGAGGAAGATTGTGTTCTGACTGAAGAATTTTCCAGAAAGCTTCTTTATTTCTGCAGAAATAGGCTTTTCCCTGCTTTGCTCAAGAACGGAATGTGCAGACACCAAATATATTCTGTCCTGGGGTGTGTAATCTGTGCTTATTCCAGCTGTTTCCAGGCTCCCCGTAGCTCTCCAGTCTCTTGTCTGATTCAGAAGTAGGATGTGCTGCTTTTATATTCTCCTCAAGCCATGGTTAGATGCTTCTGAGGGCATCTTGGTGTATCAAGAGAGCAGAAAAAGCATTGATTCTGTTTGTACTGGCTAACTTGTCAAGAAGAAAAACATCAGGTTTATTCTTCCTATACTCTCTCATTCAGTGCTTTGGCCTGACATTTGAACTATGTAAGCTTTATGAACCAGTTGGGTATACCAGATAATTTTTTATAAGGTGAATATTTTGCCACATTTGTCCAAGTAGCCAGTCAGGAACATTCCCCTTGCAAATACAAGGCTAAGTCCAACCTTTTCTTAATGCAGGTCACTGCTGAGCTCCTGTCATACGAGATAAATTGCTCATCACTTCGTTTGCTGAAGAAATCAGAACTATACAAAAGCTTTCAAAGTGTGGGATATGACTTAATTCAATCCATTTTGGGCACAGAACCATGGATATTGTATACAAAGTTTTATTGCTTTTATGAGCTACCAACAGGAATCTCATTACAGGCTTTAGCACTTCCATTGGCAATGTCTGTCTTCAAGTTAACTGCATTGAATGCACCTGTTTGGCCAGGTGATGCCAGGTTGGTAGCTTCATCCGAGTTGTTCTTGTCTGGTACTAGTGTTGTGCCAATATGCTGCTGGATTTGTGCTTGCTGCCATGACCTTGAAGGTTTTACTGGATCAGTCTATGTGGCAACAAAACTGGAAGCCTGTGTAGATACTAAAGGTACAGACTTCTGCAAATGGAGTATTGGCAATTCAGACAAGGTGCATGGCAGAAGGAAAGACTTGAAAGTCTTGAAAGACTTGCAGAGTTTTCTCTGACGTTTCATTGGCCACTCTAAGGCTGTGTCTGCGTAGCAGGAAGGAAGGACAAGGTTGTGCTGTGTCTGTCCAGAAGCCAAGCACGTTTCAGAATGGGCATGCTGCCTTAATGAGGACAGGAAAATCTGTCACCCGAGGAAGCCAGGCAGGGATGTCCCTGTGTAAATGGTTCTACTGGGGCTAATAGTTTTCCTGCCTAGAGTCGTTGGCTTCACCTCTCTCCCCATTGCCATGGATCTGGTCAGAGCAGTGACTCAGAAATGACCCTTTATGCTGACATCTCGGGTATGGCCAAGTCTTGAGAGCAGGTTAGTGGAAAAACTTGATTGAAAAGGTGATCCTAAGCTGTGTAATGTCCCAGTGGGTATTAAGAGTGCTTCTTTGATGGGCTCTGACTGCCACAAATTTGACCAGTTTGTCTACAGTCAGCAAATGGGTTTCTGTCAGATACGTGCTGGGTTACATGTACTGTAAGGAAGGTTGTTCCTCAGATTCACTGACTTGATTTTTATGACTTGGGACAAACATTAAGTTCTGTGAGTTATAGTTATTGCTATGTGTCCTAAATCCTGTACACCACTCCAGTGAATTTGTTATTAAATGCTTGCATAGCAATGGCAGGAAACTGCTCTCTACAAGGCCCCTGGACCTTTATTTGGTGCTGGCAAGCAACCCAAGAGACCACTCTCCACCTTTTCTTTCCTTCAGCAGCTCATTAGGCTCAGATACTACCAAGAATGTTTTTTCCAGGTGCTTGTCTGGTGCATTTTTCACTGCTTCTCTCTGTGGAGGCCAGAACTTGGGAAGTCACATCTGAGCTCGCTCTTGTCAAACTCATTCTCTCTACCAAGATGTTTCAGAGCAGCCATATGGTTTTACATGCTTCTGATTATTGGCACCCTCTAGGAGTTGGAGCTGGTTTGGTAGCCATGGGTTTTCTTCTGTAGAAACCTTGAATTTTTCCACTTTTAAATACTTAATGGAATTAGGTATGTTTTTCTCCAGCCAGTAGATTTGACACGGCTTATTTTTAAACCGTCTCAGAATTTTATTTACAAAGTTGGAAATCCAGTAGGATTAGTATGTGTGAAGAGAAACATTGCCTGCAGCACTTCTTTTATAGAAGCTGTCTGTATAGGAACATTTGTCTTTGGGGACTAGAATGCCCATCATGTAGGTGTTTTTCTTTAGGAGTTTCTCACTCCTGGAAAATAAATCACTTAAAAATCCCGGAGATGGTGTTTCATTGCAAACAGTATAAAATTATGCTGGAAGATGATGAAAGATTAAAAAGGTAACATTTTAGGGAGTCCTTTATGTGCTCTGTCTGGGAAACAGGTACTCAGGGTAGAAATCCTTTAATTTTAGGGTGTTGTTTTTTTTTTTAAAAAAAAAAAGGTGGCAGTGCAGTTGTCAAGTTGGTCGGTATAATGGTGCAGAACACAGCTGCATCCTTTTATTTTCAACAGCTTCTAGTTCAAATTCCTTGACACCACCAGCTTTGGTCTCCTCCCCTAATGCTGTTTTCAGTTGTTGGGTTTCCAGAGGTTCATCTCCTATATGTTCTTTTGTCAGACACATTCTAAGCTTCCATACCACCCTCCTGATCTCTGACACAACCAGTGGTTTCAGTGTTCATTTTCAAAGTCTTTGGCAGTTTGAACTCCAGGAAATTTTTGGTGATTACCTTCAGAGTGTCGTGATTAGTTGTTGTGTTTTCATTACTTCATGCAAGGGTCTTTCCTGTGTTTCTTCAGAGAGGTAGTCTCTGACTTACTCGGGTTTGGTGTGTCTTCATGTAGGTTTGCAGGTTGTTTGCTCTCCTCTATGTCTGGTGTGTTACTTGGTGTCTCAGCAAGATGCCATAGGGAAAGCAAACAGGGTAAATTAAGGTCACTCCTTCCCAGGTCATCCAACTCTGGAGCTACAGTTCATTGTTAGGACATCTAAAATTATCATTTCAGCTCCTCTTACTTCACCTCCTTTGTTTCATATGTTTGATCCATCTCCAAATTCAGCTTGCTGCTTCTACTGTGCACTTGAAAACGTAGCAAACCTTCCTCAAGATCCTATTACCCTTCACCAGTTCAGTCAGAATGGAAGGAGGATGAAATTTAAGGTGCCTTATATAGATATTTAAAGAGGTGAGGAGGGGACTTTCTCTGTCAAAAACCTCATTTGCAGTATTGTCACTCCTATTTTGTCACACAGAAATGAGCTCAGGAACATGTTGTATACAAAGAAACAGTGACTTTCAGATGTGGTGTCCCTGAGTTTCCATCTGCATTATTTGGCCCCTCAGCCCAGTCATGATCTACTTCTTGTCTCATGCCTCTTCCTTTTTATCCTTTGCTTCTTAAACTATTTTTTTTTAAATAAAGGCAGTTTGGAAAAACTGAAAGAATCAGAAGAGGATTTGAAATCTTTGAGAGACTTCAACTGGATAATACAAAGGGTTGTTTCCAACATGGTGGTTCTTCAGAGGTTTCATCTTGTTTACTTGCAACTGGAGATCCTGGTCCATACAGGGAGCATAGGAGAGGTCCCATTGTGCTGCTGGTGCCTGCCCTGCACAGCAGCTTTGTGCACATGTAAGACCAGTCAGCGGAAGAGCAGACACTGGAGTGCCTGCTTTCCCTTTAGAGCAGCTTCACCTGGTGAATTCCTACTTACAGCAATCAAGGTGAGACCAAGTAACAGATTGGTATGGGAGAATCCTCCTCAAGCATCCTGGAAATACCTCTTACCCTCTTCCCTCACTTTCAGGAAGCTTGGCTGCTTTAGAGGTGTTCTTTCATCTTTTAGTGTGCATCACAGAGCTTTATTTCCCCCTCCATATGTCAGGTGTGAGTAGTTGTCCAGACCCTTCACTTGCTCTACTCTCCAGGTAGGCTTTTTGTCACCAGTGTGCAGAATGTCCCCCTGTTGCCCTTCCCAGTCCTCCATCAGCATATCCAGTGTATCCTCAAAGGATGTACTTGTATCTGATAGGGAAAAATCTCTCCTTTTGCCTTTCCAGACTACTTCAACATCTTTATAAATTATGTTTTTAACATTTCTTTATGTGTAATAATAGTTTAAAAACAAAAAGTACTTTGTTCCTAATCACCCTTTGGACCTTCCCATTCAGTCCAGTTTCCTCTCAGCCCTTCTGTTAGTAACTTGTTACCTCAGTTCATTAATTGTTTTGTAGGTTAACTAAGTGACTGCTTTATTTCTTTCAAGACTGATGGAACTTTATATTTTTGTCTGCTTTGAGTAAATTGGAATGTCTTCCCTTAAAATTTTGTCCCTCTGTACCAATGGCTTCAGCAGAGGTGTTAAGAAATGTATCACCATAGTAGACATTTTATGATGTTGAATTATTTTCCTTTTCTTGATTAGCTGTGAGTGAACTGATGTCTCCAGACTAGGATTAAGTCCAGCTATGCAATTCTGTGGCAGGTACTTTTTCTCTGGGTTTCAGGCAGAATTTGGTTTAGCAATTTTGAAGTAGAAAATAGAATTTACAGACTTTCCCCAAAGTTGCTTACTCGAAACACTAGTGTAACCTGTGAAACTGTTTATATCCAGTTAAGGTTATATTGTGTAGAATGCAAATGTGCCTGCCATATCAATAGAGATACCTTAAGTTTTCAAAAAAGAATGGCAGGAAAAATATTTGAGAGCTTGGAACACAACAAAGTGGCAGTTGGGCAGTCCTGCTGTGCTCCTGAGCCTGGGCTGCTGTTCTTGTGCATCAGGACTAGGAAAGATACAGCTGTGGATTGTAATTTCTTGAAAGCAGTGTATCACTATTTAAAACTGACTTTAATCCTTGCAGACCAGTAATGGAGGAGGGAGTTTAAGTGATTATTCCTCCTCTGTCCCATCAACTCCAAGCACCAGCCAGAAGGAGCTCCGGATTGATGTTCCTCCCACTGCCAACACACCAACTCCTGTCCGTAAACAGTCCAAGCGCCGATCCAACCTCTTCACGGTGAGTGAGCCAAGGAGGAGACTGTTGCTGTATTTTACATAGTGCTCTGTGGTGGCAGCCTGAGCTTCAACCCTGGGGACGTCTGATCCAGACAGGAGTGTTGAGATGGATCTGTAGGCTTGAAAACTAAAACATCTTAGAGTTACCATGGGGCTGTTCTGTTCAAGGACTTCCAGAGAAACTAAGTACAGTGGGAATTGCTGTGAAACAAATGAATCCATGGCTGAATTATTGAGCTTTTGGCCAGCTTCAGTTCTCAGATTTGTTTAGATTCCCTGGTTTGGCATTAATTAAAGACAAAGCTGGGCCTCTGCTCCGTAATCCTGCCCTTAAACTGAATAATGGTGCTGACTCGAGGCTTCCTTCTCAAGTCTCCTGGTTATAGAGAGGTCTCAGGGTTTACCGTGGGGATACTGCAAAGTAACTACCCCATGCTACTTCTATTACTACAATCTCAACTCACTTTTCCTTTCCAGGGTTAAAAGAGATGATGGAGATTAAAAATTTATTTTCTTCCCAAACCGTCTGTCTTTTGATTCATTGAGAGGGGAAAAAGAAGTACAAAACACAAAGCTTGACCGGTTTGATATGACAGGCCTCTGTTATGCATAAGTAGTTTGGGAAATTATAATGAAGGCTTGAGTGATGATTTCCTTAGTTTAGCAGTCTTGCTGAAAGCTTTGGGATTGTATTGTGTGTGTAGTTGTGGGTTTGCAAGCAGTTTTTTGGCACTTAACGTGCTTTACAGCAGGCACAGAACCCCAGTGGGCTTGTATGTAAATCCCTTGGCCATTATTGCTACACATTAGTTGTCATTAGAAAGCCACAACTTGCCTGTCATCATAGAAAGCTTGTATGCTGTTTTATTCCAACCGTGATGTCATGTTGACTTCCCAAAGCAGGCTTGCCCCTCGGTTGTATCCAGGGAACCACAAACAGGAAGGATGAAACCATTTCTTTGTGCTCTAAACAAAATCTGACCTCTCGGCCTTTAGCAAGTAGAAAGTTTTGTCCTTGTTTTGGGGTGGCAGCACAGAGTCCCAGGGATCACATTTCACCTGCCGATCTGGAAAGTGACGTTTTTCTATTAAAACTGTAGGTCTTCAAACTCCTGCAGCATCAATAAAAATAATGCATTTGTGTTTAGGTGCAAAACAACAAAACGTGAAAAAGTGAGCGCTAGGTGAGAACGTATTGGATTTTAATGCCGTGATTTTCTAGGAATCGGATTTCCTCCGGTTGGTGGGATTCCTGGCTGCTGCTGGGGCGTGTTCAGCAGTTCCCAACCCCACTAGGTGTCAGTGTCAGCCCAGGAACTGCCAGCAGAGCCAGCCCTCTGGAAACAGCTGAGATGCTAGGGTTTTCTGGTCTGAAGGATGCCGAAAGTGCTCTCAGGGCTGTGTAGATGTTGTTGGGGAAACTGTTTGGGTTTTTTTTAATGGGAGCTGGTGTAAATTTGAGGAAGGGGATAAAGAGAAATGTACACCATCCACAGTCCTGGAAAAAGGTTTGAGAGGGACATGAAGTCAGCTGCATTTGCTGCAAACAAATAGGTTTGTGAGAATATCTTAGTAAGGACCAAATTTGCTCATATAGAGGATGTTAATTGTTGTCTTAATGTCTAATAACTGGGAAAAAAATTGTAGGAAAAGTTAGACTCATAGGAAAAAATACATTTTACTTTTCAGAATTAGTTTCACCTTAGAGATGTGGGTATATTGAATGTTGTGTAATGAGTTGGCCTGTAATCCATGTGCTGACCCTGCTGTAACCAAGCTTTCATGCCCTGCCACAGAAGTTGTAACCTGAAATTATTTAAATGAATAAATAGATGACCAGTATTTTCTGTCTATTTATGAACAGAGTGCATAACCAAAATATTTTACTGTTTAGCTCTGGGTTTCTTGCTGTGCTTCTTTCCTAGTCTGTTACTTTCTTATGCCTTTATCACTTACATAATCAGTTATATTCCTGTTTGATTGCAGATTACCCCTTGTTGTCTAGCATAGGCAATATGTTTCATTTCCTACATGAAGATCCTCTAGTGTGGGAAGAAAACTGGGTTAAGTAGAAAACAGATACGATTTTTCTTAATTAGATTACAGCTTTTAAGTTGGAATAGGGTTGAGAATTTGAAGCGTATTCATGTTTAAATGCATTAAATGCAGTATCTGATCTTTTACTTTCAATAATAATGTTTGCTGTAAAGCTGTTGTTCCAATAGCTGACTTTCTGTTTAGGTGATAAAGTAGATTAAATATTAGCAGAAGATTAAATGTTCTTTGTTTTGGGCGTTGTATGAACAGGGACAACTAAAAATTAGTGTGCATTATTATACAGACGGGGGATTTAAGCTGCCACTTCAGGGAAGAGCAGATTGAAACTGTGTCCCCTTTCCTGCATGTTGTGAGAGAGCTCCTGGTACCCTGAAGGCCATCTCCTTTCCCACGTTGCAGAATTGCAAGCAAGACTTTTAGACAAGTTAAAATGAACCCTGATTCTGGATTCTGGCTGTGCCCAAACTCAGGTGCTGTGTTCCTCTGGGACTAAGTCTTGTTTCACAGACAGCACATGGCGCATGAGGCTTCCCATGACAAGGGGAAATGAGTCAAATGACACACATGCAGGTGTGTTAAGTTTTTTTGGGCTTTTCCTGATTCACTTCAACAAAGTTTTAAATAGGATTTGATGTGTAGATGGGACATCAGGAAAAGTTTTAGCAAATGTTGATCCGGTGTGGTTTAGAGTCTAATTTTTTACACTACAGGATGTAAAATGGATTGTGTCTCTCACAGGTAGAAAAGCATCAACTATCAGATTATACCTCTATTTCACTGCATGATTTGCCTTTATAAATAGCAGAGCCCGCTAAGGTTCTCCCCTGGAAAAGGTTATGTATTCTGTGATTACAAGCAGCTAGAATAGAATATGCCTACCAGAAATTCCTCCTTTTCTATACTTTGGGCATTTGACAATATTTTGCCTGTAGGAATTTCCCTTCTGTGTGGGGTGTATTATTTCCAGTTGCAGTTACTTTTACAGAGCAGAAGAGATGTGATGATTTACAAATAGAAACTAAACCAGCACGTAGATATTTAGCTTGCTTTTCAGAGGCAGGATCCTTTCTTTGAAAAAGAAATAGAAAAGAAACATTCAAGTTGACAACTTCCCTCCCAAAGATTTGCCTACCTTCAGTGGGTTTCTTAAGGATGTCACTTACGGGCGCTTTGCACCATTGAAGCATTGTTTTGCCTTGCATTATTGGGAAGTGGCACTTTCAGATTCAGAAATCTGTCTTGAACGACGAGGAACAATAGTTATCCTGAACATTGGATTTAATCCCTCCCACTTGTTTTGCTTGCTTTCATTTATTCTTTGTTTAATTTCCCGGCACGTCATTCCATTGCCCCGAACCATAGTAACTAGTGATAGGAGCCCATTCCCGGCGGAGCGGGGAGAGCAGCACTGGATCCCTGCTGTGTAAATGTGTTGCTTAGAATGGTGTTACTTGAAGTCTTCCTCCCTGGGTTTTCTCCCTCCCCTTCCCTCCTCCCGTGCCTGAAGGGGATTTTTTTTTCTTCCTTCCACCCCTTCGTATAGGATGAAAAACAGGTATTAGTTATCTGCCGTCCTAATTGTTCTCTTAATTTCAGTGTCTTTCAAACATCTCTTTCCACTGAAAATGAAAAGCAGGATCTTGTGTTGCTCTGGCTTTCATTAACTTCCCATTGTGGCACTGGACATGGCAAATGTATTCCTTTCATATATCATCTCTGATTTGAAAAGCACATGAAAATGTTTTCCCATTTTCGATATTGTGTGAGTAATGTTCCTATTGAAAAGTAATGGAGTGAAGTTGTCACTTGTCAGCTCAGTTATTAAGGAGGATGACTCTTAGGTCTTCTTTTTGTAATAAAATAAATCTGTCAAAATCATTATGCTCGTGCATTCTTTCACAATAATGGGCTGGAATCTGAATAACTTCTTGAAATTCCCATATAACTTTACAAAGTCATGAAGTGAGCACGGTGAGCTTACTCCTAGGGCAATTCCACTGCTATAGAAAGCCAAGATCAGGCAATTCAGGTTTTAAACATTGCTTAAATTTTCCTCATGCTGATTTTTCTTCATTGTGTTCAAATATCTGTTTTCAGCATCAATCACTACCTTTTCTTGCAATTCCAACTTTCTACCCATCCAAAAGTAGGGGGGGACAAAAGTCAGTGCGATCAAAACCGGCATCATAAAATCGCATTTCTAAGTAGCTGATCACATTTCTAAAAAACACACAGTTCTAAGTTAAACGTATGCATGCATATATCAGGGGGTTTTTAATGAGAAGCTGGAACCTTCGTTCCTCTTTGGAGCTACTATTGGAGACTTCAGAAACATGTCCTCTGATCTGCTGGGTCTTCAGGCAGTGAAACTGTAACTCTTTAAACCCCAACACCATTTCGAACAAGTGGATGGTTGAAAATTGGAGGCAGCATTTTGGTGTTCAGCTTTTGGGGACAGTTGTTTGCTTTTGTAGATTCTAACCCACATGTTTCGAATCTCTATTTGTATGTCAAAATACTTTTTTTTTTTTTAAATTGCATTAAGAAAAAGCATCCTCAGTGTGAATTGCTGCATTTAACAGAACACAAACTTTCTTTTTGCTCTGCAGTCTCGGAAAGGGAGTGACCCAGACAAAGAGAAGAAGGTCCTGGAGAGCAGAACAGATAGCATTGGAAGCGGCCGTGCAATCCCAATTAAGCAGGTAATGCCGAAATACTTTCTTTTTTTTTTCTCTTTTTCCCCCCTTTCCATAGTTGGAGCCACACCTCGGGTCTTGAGCACTGGGATGGCTGCCCGCGGGCCAAGATGCCTTTGATGTGCTCTGGTGATGAATGTGGAAGTCACTCACTTGACATCAATTAGGAGAGGTTCCTATGTGTATTAAAATAGGATCATTAGAATAAGAAGAGGGAAAATGTGACAACAGGCCTAATGAAGTGCAGTCTGCGGGCCTGCATATGGAGCGGGTTCCTAGGCTGTGCTGGCTTCAAAGCTGCCTTTGTAGAGGGGGCTTTGATTGGGCCGTGTGCTGCCAGTCGGCAGGGTAAATCAGATCGCTCGACAAGAGCCCCTTGTGATCGCAGAAATAGCCTGATGTGGCCCTAATTTGCTACTGCAGACGGACATCTGAACACAGTTTCAGGCTGGTTTGTAACAACGAGGCAATTAGTTGTGATAATCATAGCCGGTGTGTCAGCTGTGCGCTCTTGTTTGTAATTTGCTAATGAAGGAATTGTAACTTTGATTAGGTTCAGTTTCATTTAGACCTTATTATATAAGAGAACGTTTACAGCTGTAATGTGTGGCCTTAATTAAACTTCCTCATTACACAACAGGACTTGAATTCAAGGATTTGTTTTGGTCTGTTTTACTAGCCTAGATGCACTTTCATTAGCCCGGAAACTTGATGCTAAATTGTTGCCGCAAACGCTCCTTTGAAAGGGGGAAGCGATGCTGGGAGCTGAGGAGAAGTGTTTGGGTGAAGGACATAATTTACTTTCTCAAATTCAATTACACTGAATTCACGTGGTTAAGAACACCACGCTCAGCCTTGGTACAGGATCCTTGGCAAATAGTTTCTGCTGCGGTGTTTGCAAGTATTTGCTTTCATGTGAGTTACTGTGCCTTAGAGAGCAAAAGTGCTGAGGGAAAGGAGCTTGTTTTCTTCCCACACGGTTGTTTCCAGTTCCTTTTGGTGGCTTTCCTGGCCCTCTGAGGGTCACTTGTCTTTCCTAATTTTTCTTCAGTCCATGCTTCGTCTGGCCAGGTAGTGCTGAGTCTCTAGGTGGGTGGGTGGGTGGGGAAATGGTGTTTTGGGGGGGTGTTGATTTTATTTTTTTTATTTTGGGGGTGAGGGGAAGATGATTTTGTACCCGTAACCATTTGCAGTGATTTTCTTTCTTAAAGGCTGTTAAAAAAACCTTTTGGGACCATCAGTGCTGTGGTGTCTGTGAATCTCTAGTAGACACGTTTTAATCAAACGCTCTGCAATTCAGAAGAGCAGTTTGAAACCAATAAGCTCAGTATTTGGCTCTGTGTTCAGGGGAGATTCCAGGCATTTAAAACAAGCTACATTTTTTTTTTTCCTACAGCTTTTGTATGGTATGAGATGGGTTAGACCAGCTGGAATTCTTTTGGGTACTGCTAATTAAATGAAAGTGTCCGTGAATGCAGCTGAGAATGCAAAACTGAGAAATATACTTTTCAATATTTATTCAGGGCATACATACTGTTCTTTTCTAAAATGCTGTTGTATGAAATTAATTTAATTTAAAATGCACTTTTAAGAAGAGTATTGTAAGATAAGCATATTAAGTGTCATTGCTCTATGTGGTAGTGAAATATCCCTTAACAATATCTTGAATTTCTGTATTGCAAAATTCTCCCTGCAGTCCCTACTTTTGTACTGAGTATGACCACTCTTTTGGGAATGTGTACTTTCTGTTATTAAACCCAATTATGGTAATTTCATTTTGTCACGTACAAGCAATTACCAGCAAATATTTGTGCAGGTCTGTAGTCAGCAGATCCATCCTGTTCACTGGGGTTTTGGGAGAAGGAGGAGGTTGAATGGCACACAGTGCTGTAGGATGGCTGCTCTCAGTGGCGTTTCACATCATACTTGTGTGTCAAGAGAGTGGATTTTGGAGTTCATATAAAGCTGTTCTGCTTTGTAGATGCTCTGCAGTAGAGTGCAGGAGACCAGTGTCTCCTAGCTTTTGATGCAAAAAAAGATGGAGTAGGATAAAGTGCCTTTTTCACTTGGAAACATTGAATTAAAAATCGAAATATGATGTTTCATAATGACGAAGTTTCATTACAGTTTAAAAATATACATTAGTTTGGAATGGTCTTTCATTACAAACTAGGCTGTTTCAAGCAGAAATGGCTCCTGACCAGGGGATAGCTTTTTGTCTACCCACCATGTAGATGGAGAGCTCCTATCAGTAGACGTGGCACCAAGTTAAGCTGCTGAGATTACTTTACTCTTGGTGGGCTCTACAGGTGGCACACAGGAGGGTGTTTCTCTGAGGCACTAGAAATTCCTGCTAGAAACGATGAGGTGTCTAATGGGTGGGTGGGTGGGGAAATGGTTTTTGGGGGGGGGTTGATTTTATTTTTTTTATTTTGGGGGTGAGGGGAAGATGATTTTGTACCCGTAACCATTTGCAGTGATTTTCTTTCTTAAAGGCTGTTAAAAAAACCTTTTGGGACCATCAGTGCTGTGGTGTCTGTGAATCTCTAGTAGACACGTTTTAATCAAACGCTCTGCAATTCAGAAGAGCAGTTTGAAACCAATAAGCTCAGTATTTGGCTCTGTGTTCAGGGGAGATTCCAGGCATTTAAAACAAGCTACTTTTTTTTTTTTCCTACAGCTTTTGTATGGTATGAGATGGGTTAGACCAGCTGGAATTCTTTTGGGTACTGCTAATTAAATGAAAGTGTCCGTGAATGCAGCTGAGAATGCAAAACTGAGAAATATACTTTTCAATATTTATTCAGGGCATACATACTGTTCTTTTCTAAAATGCTGTTGTATGAAATTAATTTAATTTAAAATGCACTTTTAAGAAGAGTATTGTAAGATAAGCATATTAAGTGTCATTGCTCTATGTGGTAGTGAAATATCCCTTAACAATATCTTGAATTTCTGTATTGCAAAATTCTCCCTGCAGTCCCTACTTTTGTACTGAGTATGACCACTCTTTTGGGAATGTGTACTTTCTGTTATTAAACCCAATTATGGTAATTTCATTTTGTCACGTACAAGCAATTACCAGCAAATATTTGTGCAGGTCTGTAGTCAGCAGATCCATCCTGTTCACTGGGGTTTTGGGAGAAGGAGGAGGTTGAATGGCACACAGTGCTGTAGGATGGCTGCTCTCAGTGGCGTTTCACATCATACTTGTGTGTCAAGAGAGTGGATTTTGGAGTTCATATAAAGCTGTTCTGCTTTGTAGATGCTCTGCAGTAGAGTGCAGGAGACCAGTGTCTCCTAGCTTTTGATGCAAAAAAAGATGGAGTAGGATAAAGTGCCTTTTTCACTTGGAAACATTGAATTAAAAATCGAAATATGATGTTTCATAATGACGAAGTTTCATTACAGTTTAAAAATATACATTAGTTTGGAATGGTCTTTCATTACAAACTAGGCTGTTTCAAGCAGAAATGGCTCCTGACCAGGGGATAGCTTTTTGTCTACCCACCATGTAGATGGAGAGCTCCTATCAGTAGACGTGGCACCAAGTTAAGCTGCTGAGATTACTTTACTCTTGGTGGGCTCTACAGGTGGCACACAGGAGGGTGTTTCTCTGAGGCACTAGAAATTCCTGCTAGAAACGATGAGGTGTCTAATTTGTTGCATTAACTGTGAATAAGGCAGACAGATGTGAAGAGGAACTTTATGACCTAGAAACTTCAGTATGTCATGCTCCTGTGCTTCTGGCAATGAGAAACCCATTCCTTCACCAAACAATTAGGTGACAAAGGGCCAAAATGCCTTTGCCAGCTTCATGCATATACTTTTCTGTTGCATTTTTGGGACAACTTCAAAAGCATGCAGTGACCAGGCCTCTTTAATACCTGTTGTCAATACTTTTTTATATTTGCTGTAAGTTCTTATGCTGTGGGCAGGGCAGCATGAGCTTCTGGTGCAAGGCACAAGTCCTACCTGCAGATCAGTGCTTCAGTTGTGGTGGTTGATCCTACTAGCCCTTAAAAAAGAAAATGTTTCTGTTGAAATTAATACAGTGGACTTTGTGTTCTCAGTTTGTTGCTACCTGGGAAAGAAGTAACCCCAAAAAAGTTAATAGAAGAAAGAAACAGTCTTGCTATTCAGATGTTGAAACCAATGGTTTTGTTACCCAGTTTATTCTGTGCTGCCTGTGGGTTGTTCTTACCTTCCAAAAATCAGAGGTACTGCCTCCCAGCCTTGAAAAACAAACACAAAAAAACCCCCAAAACCAACAAAAAGAATGAAAGGCCAGTTCATGTGGGACTGGAAGTGTTCTGGTTTTGAGGAAGAAATTAAATCTCTTCCAACATACAGGGCTACATGAAAGGGGAGAGGAAGAAGTTGGTATCAGTCAATTAGGTTTCTTTGTGGTGGGGAGAGAGTACAGAGTGAGTATTTGGGAAAATGATCTCTCTAGGAATTCACCCAGACTCCTCAACTATTATTTCTTTTCATAGATCAGGTCTACTGCAACTCTTGAGCCAGCATTGCTGTGGTTGATGTATATTTGGTGACAGAGGAGAACGAGTTTTTCTGGGGGCATCTCCTGATTTTTTCCTCTGGTCTTTTGAAGTGAGCTATGGTGTCATAAAGAGTTACCATTCTGTATCTCAGCCTCCCTGGGACCCAGGTACAGGCTGCACAGCTCCTAGAGTTTGGTGTGGCTTTTGATTGAAAGAAGCCAAGTGTTGCAACCTGCTCCTCAGTTCCTATTCTCTCACCCTGAATTCCTGAGGATTTGGGGAGAACAGGCAAAATTATAAATGCCATGTTTTTGTCTGAGGAATCGCCTCATTCCTTTAGGGCTTCTTCCTTATCTTAAAGCAGGCTGGTCAAAAGGAGTTAATATTCTTATTCTCTCTGTCCTTTCTAAATGGTAAAAATCTCTTTTCACTGCAGTGCTAAATAAGATTTTATTGGGCTAAGAGTATAAAACTGTTCTGATGAACCTCCTTGCAGACACCCAA